CGATAAGTCAGTCCCTCCTCCTGCCCAGACTCAGTGTTCTCTCCTGCTTCCAAGAAAACACTAAATAAAAGGCAGCCTTGCCTTGAGAGATTCAAATTAGCCATGGTTTGAATTGACTTGATCACAGCACAGTTTGCACGCTGCCTTGTGCCACACATTTGTTTCTGACTGCATAGAGAGGGGACATTTTTTCTTTTCAGTAACCTCGGGCACATGGAGATACACTGCCTGGTTTGCACAGATCACCACCATGCCTGTGGTCGACTTTTACACACACCAGTTCACACTCCAACGTATAGTTCTATCTGGGAGCTTGTGGTTTGCAGCTAAGGAAGCAATGAGCTCCTGAATGATAAAGGGTGGGTTCACTTGGATTTATTTTTTTTTCCAGCATGAGAGGTAGCTCTGATATTTAATCCAGCTGGGTCAATCTCCTAGTTCCCAGGTGGTTAGCACTATGGCACTTATTTTGTCAGAGCAAGCATCCCTGCCAGCAACTGCTTTCCTATCTATATGAACAGACAAGTAAGAAGGGTAAGTCAGATGGATGGTGGAGCCCCCTCTGTGGTTGGAGAAATGGGTTTTTTAGTTCCCATTATGAGGCACTTTGCTGAAGCAGAAACACAAAGCTCAGAAGAAGGGACAAGGCAGTGGTAGCAGGTGAGCCATGCTTAGCTTCAAATATCTTATTTTTCTCTGGTTCTCCTTCCACATATTTCAGTGCTGTGATCTTCAAACTGCTATTTCATCTTATGCAGGGAGGTATCCAGGGCCATAGCTAGTCCGTCTGACTGCGGCAAAGCGGCAAGATTAATAAGTTGATTCACTGTGGTTTGAAGAGTTCCAGTGAATGAGTGGACAGAGGACGGATGAGAGTAATAGCAGGTAACTGATCAGCCATGTTTCTCCCAACATTTTGTGCTTTTCTATCAAGTATAAATATATATCAAAGAAAGATAATCGCAGAAGAGTCAGGCAATCCTAGAGCCCCAATGTCAGGCAGAATGGATACTATGAGCATTCCATGGTGGATTAGGCAATCACAATATATTGAGCCATCTCTCTCAAAAAGATCATCTAGTCCATCTCCTCTATTAACTAATCCATTTCTTTGTGATAAATTGCAGCTTACACAAAGAAAATTTAAAAAAAAAAAACTAAAAAAACCCTCTGCGTGTTCTCCAGCTGCAAGATAAGTCTCCCTGTGGCCCACCAAACCATGCTGCAAAGGAGACTACTGGCAGAGTAGAGCTGTGGCTTCCCTAAAGGCCAAGAAGATTAAACCTCTAGGGACCAGTCCTCAGTCTGGACGATCTCACAGGCAGCTTTTGTGCATCCTAAGGAGCAAAAGAGTGTGGAATGGAGCCCATTGCAAAGATAAGCCGTGCTGTCTGTACAGAGCTCCCACCCTCTGCCAGCTTGGGGGAATGAGGAAACAGCACTGGGAATCACATCCAGACCTCCCACGTGGTACTGCAGAGACACTGATTCCTGGTGCCAACCCAGGCAACGTGAGTCCAGTGTGGGAATCCAAGCACAGCTCCATAGCTCTGGCACCAGCAGTGAGGTCCACCTGCCCGCTTCCAAACCAAGCACAAGAAACAGCCGCAGCTCCAATATCAGATGAAACGCATACGTTAATTCCATCATCTTTTCCCCCTGTAGGTTAGGGTTTGGGGATGGGGTGCTGGTTCACAGGTTGACAGGCTTTTTATACAAGGAGACTCAGTAATCCAAAATGAGGATAAAACAAGTCAAAGCCTAAATTATTAGATGGGCATGGGGGGTTGGGATTTTTGCCCCTGATCTGTATTTTCCATCTCTCCATGATCTCTTTGCATTCTTGCATGCACAGGTGCAATGTAGAACTCAGCCAACAATGCAGTTTTCCTGAAAATCCTGCCCAGAATGGGATGGCTGGAGACTTCTGCTGACACTTTCTTTTGCCCAGCAATGGTCTCACTGGCAAAGGGATTGCAAGAGGCACCAGACCGGCACAGGCTAAGCTGGGCTGGTGCAGCAGGTGTGTAACAACAGATCAGAGCCCAGGGTGCTTAGGAAGAGGAGTCGTGGCTTTGATTATGCTTCTTTCCTTTTACCTGCTGAGATCTGTCCCTACGTATATAAGGCTGAGCCGAGAGGAGGCTGAAGTGGATCTCACCTCCCCCAGGCTGTTTTCCCATTCTGTCCTCAACCTGTTTCATCATCTCCTAATCCTCTGAGACCCCCACTCAGGACTGGGAGACAAGCCGGTGTGATGAGGAACCAAAGAAAACCAGGATGTGTGGAGGCGACAAGAGCTGCTGCTTTGGGATGGCATGGGTGAACACTTGAAAATCGCCCATACCCAAACCTCTCCTCTTAGAGAGCACCCTGCACCCACACACAAACTGCTGCTTTCTCCAGAGCTGCAGCTGGGGCACACCAGGTCATCCCACATCACAGGGTGCCATGCCCCTGCTCTGCTCCCCAAGGCCTTGGGGAATGGGGCAGCACTAGCATGAGCTCATCCCATAAGCTGAGAGTATTGCATACCCAGCCCTCTCAGCCTCCCCAAGGGGCAGCTCAGAGGGGATCAGCTGCCTCCATACACTGCTTGCAAAGCCTGAGGTAGTTGTGCTTGATGGTGGGGAGAGCAGTTTTAGAGGGCATCTCCTTTTGCCCATATTGGAGCTTGCAGAGAACATGAGGAGTCACAGGTAAAGGTAACAGCAAGAGAGACTGGGAGGTAAAAGAAGGATGAGGATGTAGGCCCATGCTCCTGGCCCCCATGACTGAGCATCAAAGCTGACAAACCCCTCCCCAACTCCGATCTGCCCTGTTCCACCTGGAGCATGAACCTGGCCCAGGGCAGGGCTAAGAAGGGCTGTGATAGCGATGCGGCAGCTGCTTGGGCCCAGTGCCCTGCTGGCAGGGCTGGTGGCTGTGGCAGGCACCAGGCGGGCAGGGATGGGTGCAGCTCTCCAGAGGAGCAGGCAGCCCGGCCCGGCTCCCGGGGACTGCCACCCTGACCAGGCACCCAAGGCAACCTTCCTCCTCTTCCCTCCTATCTGCCTGCAAAAGCCAGGGCGAGGGGGAAGGGGCTGAGCCCAGCATCTGCTCTCCCCTCGGACGCTGCTGGCATCCCTCCCGGGACTTGTGTTTTAGGGGTTCTCAGGGGTAAGTGACCCCCGACGAAGGGGGCTACAATCCCCCACCCAGTCGGTGCTGGCGTCCTGGGTAGATCCGGGAGCCGCGAGGCCTGAGAAATTCCTCCCGAAAAGGGGGGAAAGGCTTCGGCACGCCCTCCTCCCCGCATAGGTAAAGTTTCTACTCCCACTTGCGGAGGAAATGGGAGGGAGGGAGAGCTCAGGCAGGGAGGATCCAGGCGCGGATAAACCCTGGGAAGCCTTAGATATTTATAGAAGCACAGTCAGAATATGTCAGGAAAGGTGGCTTTCAACCCCTTGACGCGGAACCACTCCTGGGTTTTAACAGTAGCCCCACAAAAACCCCTCAGAAATGTGGCAAAGAGCTACTGGAAGGATGAAGGCAAAGGCGGGGGTGGGAAAGGCGCGCCCCCGCCTCAGGATGCTCCGGATGCCTCAAGGGCTGAGGGTGCCTCAAGGATGCCTCACCCCGCGGCAGGGCTGGAGGGTGACACACCCCCCCCCTCATTCTGCGCGGTGCGAGTGAGTCTTCGATCCGTATGTTCCGCCCCCGCCCGCTTGCAGGCTCCGGTTGCATATAGCGGTCGAAAGGAAGGGAGAGGCGGGTCGGTGATGGTGAGCCCAGGTGGGGGGGCTGCCGATGCGGGTAAGGGTGGTGGGGGTGCGCCCCCGGGAGGGGGCTGTGCAGCAGCTCACCCCTGCCCCCCGCCTCTCGGCGTGGGAGCGCAGACCCACGCGTGCCGGGCGAAGCGGCGCGCTGGGCACGGGCTGAGGCTTAAAATAACCTCGAGACGTTCAACACCTTGTGCCCGGCGCTCCCGCATCCCACGGCGCTCTGCTCCCTTTGTCTTGCCACCATCTTACAGAAAGACTCACATGTCACGTTACGGTCGGGATGCACCGGTATCTCTCGCGTATCTACAGCCGAGTGGCACGTTAGCCATTTTGCATCCCTCCCGAGTGGGCTGGGGAA